CCATCCTCAGCAGTACTAAAAAAATTGTTTAAAATGTAACAATTTCCAACATAAACTATTTTTTTAAGTAGTGTTAAGTACATTTACATCATTGTGCATCTAATCTCCCATAACTCTCTTCATCTTTCTTGGAGCTCTGCTCATAATCTTCATTTGAAGTAGGTGGAGAAAATAGGTAAGTGTAAATAGATCTCAATGGCAGTCTGTAACTGCAATGGTAAGAAATTGAGAAAACACCAAACAGTAATCAAATGTCATAACAATCGATTTTTATTATGAAATATAACAGAAGCAAAAATGGACACGACTTAGTGAAGTTACCACAAAGTAGGCAATCTTGTAACCATGATCCCCAAGTCAGGAAAACAGAACAGTACTAATATTCCAGAAGCTTCCTCATGAAAAACCTCCCAGAAACTGTCCTGTCCCACCTTCCTGGTCCAGAAGTTAATCACTCTTTGCTTTTTATTTCTGCTTTTACCACTTAAGTCTTTATCTCTAAGTGTGTTTAGGTGCTTCTATTCTTTGAACTACATAAATGGAATAAGTAGAATATACGTGTTTTGTATTTAACTGCTTTTGCTTAGTATTTGTGAAAAGCATCCAGGTTCTTACACGGAACTATAAGTTTATTCATTTTTATTGATACACAGTGTTCTCTTTTCTCTCAAGCTTACTCTCTTAAATCTGTTCTATTGTTGATGGACCACTGCAGTTTTCAGCTTGAATATATTATAAGTAATGCTATATAATGACATTTCTTAGTGCTTATGTGCATGTATTTCTGTGATTATTTGCCCCCAAAATGGAATTGCTGGGTTGTATATGAAAGTTTTAGTTGCTTCCACATCCTTATTAGTCCTTGTTATTTTCATTTAGTTATCTCCTTCTGAGGGGCTCATAGTGATTTCTCTGTTTAGTGTGCCTTCTTCCAGGTTGCTAATGAAGTTGGCCATTTGGAAATCCCTATTTTCTAAGGTACTGATTATTATGCATATTTAGTTTTTTAATTGAGTATATCATGTATATGAGGTCTTCATTTGTATTGCAGATTTTCTAAGAATAATTTTAATGTTTTTCCTCAATCTTGTGTGTATACAGCCTTGTTTAAAAAAACTATAGTTGCCTGTGGTGTTTCCCAGGAAATTACTGGGTTTTTTTCAGTTAGTTTTGTGGAATTCATTTGTCTATTTTCCTATGAATTGTTTTTGTTTTGGGAATATGGAAACATAATTTTCCCAGCGCCATTTATTGGAAGAAAAAAAACATGTCCTTTTCCTATGGCTCTGAAATACTCCTTGTGTAGTAAATTGAATTCCATCAACTTGTTATATTGCATAGAGTTCTTTGTATGACTTAGTGTAGTTTTAAGATAAATAAGACAGAGGAGGAGTACTCACCTAGCTTTTTAAACTTGGATTTTTCTGGGCCTTTGCTTTAACATGTAAATTTTATAATTCCACCAAAAGAGGAAAAAGAGTTTTTGATTGACTATTTATAGATCAAAAAAAGAGTTTTTGATTGACTATTTATAGATCAATTGGGGAAGATTAACACCTTTAAAACATTGATACTTCTGACCATGAATGTAGCATATCCCTCAATTTATATGGATGCTAAAAGAGTTTTATAGTTTTGAAGAGTTTTCAACGTGTTGTTTTTTAATGTGTCAGTTTCTTATGGTCAATATAAAGTTGATTTCTGTAATATTGAAATTGTATTCAAAAACCTTGGTAAAACTCATCCTACCACTGTATTTCAAAGATTTATTGTGATATATAACTCATAATCTGGGAATAATTAGGCTTTTTTTCTCCCTTTATAATGGTTACATTTCCTTGCATAGAAAAGGTACTATCCTTGTCCTCTATTTCACAGAGAATGCCTTTTTAAGGGGAAAGGTACTAGGGATCAAACCCAGGTCATTTGTGCATGCTAGGCAAGCACTGTACCACTGGTAGTTCACTTTGAAATATGTATGTTGTAGATTTTCAGTAGGTACCTTTGATCAAATTAAGGACATTGCCATTTCCCACATGTATTTTAATTGTAGGTGGACGAAATACCTTTTATATGGTGCTGAGGATCAAACCCAGCCCCTCATGCATGCTACCACTGAGCCATAACCCCAGTCTCCCCTCACTTTGCTTTTAATCATGAATGGCTTTCCTCAAGGTTTTTTCTCGTAAGACTTTTGTTCATAATGCTAAGATAAACTTGTATTTCTAGAATCTGTTAGAAATTACTTGTGAAACCATTTGGGCCTGGAAATTTCTTTGTACAAAGGTTTTATTACTACACAATATTTTACAGGTGCATGATTATCAGGGTTCTTGTAAGTTGTGCTTTCCAAGAAAATTATCTATTTTAATTAATGTAAGATTGTTTATAGTGATGTCCCCTTTTAATTACTAAGATTAATTTTCTTGTATTCATTTTTCCCCAACTTCTACCATGACTCCCTTATTTTCCATGGCAGGTTGTTTTTTTTTTTTAAAGCTTCCTCGCTGCTTTTGAAGACGAATTTCTGTAGTTTTTTTTTTTTAAGAAAGTTAGTAGCATTTCTATGGAGGAGGCAGTGTTTGTTTTGCTTTGTTGTATTGATTTCTTTCCCTAATATGAATTTAAAGCAACATTCTTTTGGTAGTCTGGGGGCTAGGGTTGTAGCTTAGTGATAGTGCTTGCCTAGCACATGAGAGGCACTGGGTTTGACCTTCAGCACCACATAAAGGTATTGTATCCATCTACAAAATAAATATTGCTGGTAAATTGGTACTTGTTTTTTGCTATCTTATGGAATTTGCACTAATACACCTTTTTCATCCTTATATACTTTGGATTTGTTGACCTTTTGTTTTCATCGGTTTCTAAAGTCTGTTATCTTACTAAATATTCCTTCTGCCTCTGAGACTATTAAGCATAATTTCCTCAAGTCTGTTTAAAGCTGGGCCTAGTAAAGATAGTACCTAGAACTCTGAAGGGTCTCATTTCTAGTGCATGGTGTTCAAGATATATTTGAGTCCTATGGGCAAATTTAGGCCGAACTTTTCAGAGGATTTTGTTTCCTCTAGTTACACCCAGGGAAACAAGCCAAAAATCACCTGAACCCAATTTAAGTGATAGAAAACTGGATGGCAGGTTGGCAACATCTATGGGAAAAATGGCCTTGGAATTTCCATCTTCTAGATTATGACCTAGTGATATTTTGTTCCAGTGAAGCCTTATGTGCAGACTTTATTTGGGGAGTTGTCCAAACTCCCCAGTCTACTAGTATCAGACCTGGAATATTAACAGTGGGGATGATTTAATGCTATCTCACTGCCTTGTCCACTCCTAATTTTGTGCTTCCCAAAAAGATCAGAAAAATTTTGAGATTTGGACAATACATATGTACTATCATCTTGCCTGTAAAGAATTTATAGGAAGACATGAAATTTTATTAGCCCTTGACAGAAGAAATCCAAAATGGCAACTGAAAAGGAATACTACCCACCAGGTTAGCTAAAATGTACAAAAGTATTCAAGAATTCAAAAAAAAATGAACTCATTTTGGCATTAGTGAAATTGTATATTTGATATATTCTATCCTATGAATTTATCAAATTAATAGTGTATTCATAAAACTATGAAGACAAAATGTTCCTTTGAGGTGAAATATTGATCATTTTTCAAAAAGAAAATTAGCAAACAGATTAACTGCTTCAAAGACAAAAGGTCAAATAACTAAAATCAGATGAAAATGAGGACACTATAGAGTTCTACAAAGGTAAACAAGATTATGAGAGTAATATGTTCAGAGACAGCCCAGACTTCATCTCCAAATAAGTACTGTGAACAACTGTATGCTAATAAATTGAATAATCCTGTTGCTCAGATCCCTAGAAGGATGCAACCTGCAAAGACTGAGTCAAACAGAAAAATCAAAGGAGACTGGATCAATAATCAAAAGACCCCTCAGGACCAAATGGTTTATTAGCGAATTCTGCCAAACACCAGAAATTTCTGAATTCATCCTATGATGAGGCACTGGTACCAAAGCCAGAAAAGACAATAAGAAAACGGACCAACATCCTTAAAATACTAGCAAAGTCAATAGTAAGATGATTATACGCTATGACAATGCACAATCTTGGAATTAAAAGGTGGTTCAGTATATGAAAATGTACCACCACACATTAACCAAAGAAAGGGGGGAAACTATGGTCATCTTAATTTTGCAGAAAAGGCATTGTGACAAGATCAAGACTCAACGATCAAAATACAACAAAACTAGGAAAAGAAAACTACCTCAAGTCCACATATTAAAAACCCACAGCAGACACAATGGTTAAATACTGAAAGCTTTTTCTGAGATTAAAAAGACAAGGATACCTGCTTTTGCTACCTCCAACACAAAAGTTCAATCCAGAGCAACAAGGCATATAAATATTTTACGTATACAATGCCATTTTACACAAAAATGACCAGCACCACTAAGTCAGATTGATCTGGAAATAGTATTGACTTTTTATAAAACAGTGATGTTACTGCAGGGAAGGTATAGAGGGAGATACAATTGTGCAGGAACACAATGGGGGCTTTAAGACTCAGGTATTCATATGATTTATAAATCTAGTGTTACTTAATTTCAAAAAAGCAAAGTATACCCTACCCTCCTGAGAAGTGAGCCTTCTGACTTCCAGATGGCTTATGCTTCGTAGGAAGACTAGAAGATCAAGATTTCTGAGAATTTCCCCTTCAATATAGCATCTTACCCACTTAGAAATAAAATGATCCCAAGCACTATTCAACTGGGTTTTTTTTTTAAATGGCGTGAACGAGGCCATAACAGGAAACATGTACTTAGTCTTAAGAATTTGTCAAAGTATTCATGTTTGATAGATTTTAGAACACTTGTTTTGGTAGATCAATACTAATACCTAATCAAGAAAATATGAGCTAATTCAGAGCTAGTCGATCAGAACTTCTGAATCCCTGAAAAAAAGACACACAAAGAAGAATAACATTTAATTGAAATATATTTGTCTAATATCTACAAAGTGTGAACAATTGGTCTTAAGAAAGCGGACAAAAGGCACAAAATTAGTATTACTACAGAGAAGCATTCATGCTACTGATTTTTATAAATATCATTGGAGTGGCACAGTAAAAAATAAATTAAGCATTGAGCAAAAATCATTTTTCCTTTTTTTTGGTCACGTCTGACACCTCAATTTGTAAAGGCTGAGGACAAATTCAACTGAAACCATGGAACACTTACAAAGGCTTTGTTTTAATCACAGTGGCTTTCTTGCAGAGTTTGAGTCATACCAGAGAGGTACACTTTTTAAAAATCCACAGTAAATTCTTTTCTCGCATATTTGAATATGCATGCACATAATTCAGCTTCTGAAGCCCTTTTTTCCATCATGAAGGTAATGAACTCTCCGTGAGATTTATTTTCTGCTGTAAAGGAAGAAGCTTTGGAGGAATGTATAACTCGTGCTTTGAGCATCAGAAAAATGGGAGGAAAACTCAATGTTAGGGCCTGGTTTGGCTCTAGATTCCACCTTAGAAGGCTCTGGCATTAATCTCCAATAGCTTCCTAAACACATCCATTCTCAGCAAAGTAGTTTATATTTCTCGGATGTGGACAAACACAAGATGGAGATGGGGAAGGATGTGAAAATCCCACTTGGGAAATGATTGCCACCTGCATTTCTCCCAGGAATGAGCCACTGTCTACTATAAGGACACATTGATTGGGCCATGCCAATTCAATCTTCATTTTGACAGAAGTTGGCTAAGTGAAAACATCTTTGTAAGTGCAAAACATTTTTGGCAAAGTGAAAAATAGAAAACCTCATTGATAAAAAGGAGCTCATGATTACCCACTTAAATCTTGGTGAGTGCATTATTTACATGTGTAGTAATACTCATATGTACATAGTGCGTGTGTGAACACCTTAAATGTGTACACACATGCCCCAAATGGCTCTTGGATAAATTCAATCCTCTAGCAAGAGTTTGGGGGAGCATGGTTCACAGTATAGAATTTTTTTTTTTTTTTTTTAACCATTTCTTGTTTGCTAGCAAGGGGTCTCGGTGAATGCCAACAAAACCTTGGTACTGTACCACTTTAATTCCTACAAAAACAGGGCTATTTAGGAAAGCTCTGCACCTCCAGCCCATCAGTGTGCCTTCCAGAGGGGATTGAAGTATACCCAGCCGTTGCCCTGAAAAAGAAGGAAGGAGGCATTACATGGAGACCTCTCAGTAGACAAAAGGAGGAAGCAAGGGTAGGTGCCCCAGTCTGCACATATATGGTTTGTTCTCAGTATCTCACCGAAGCCAAACAATGACTTCACTGCCCCTCTCAGCCTGCCTGTTTTTAGAGCCCAAGATGATCTATCTTAACATATCAGGAAGAAACCCCATGGAATGACCAAAATAAATGGGGACGTTGTTGCTTTACATCACTAAACCTTTCAACACCGCAGAGAAAGAAGGTAGCTGGGTGGATGAAACAACTGAAAAAGAAAAGGTATAGGTTTCATATATGGAACCCAAACCAGTAACTTCTCAGCCCACCATGCATGGGGGTGGGTGAGAAGCCAGAGAAATATTTCAACAGGCAGTACCTACAGAAAGATGAGTAAACAAAAGAACCAACAACAACCAATGAAGTGCAGAAAGGCAAGAACAAAGTGGCATACAGAGTCTGGAGCTAAGCCAGAAGGGAACGTACATTCTGCATGGTAACCATCCTGGAGCTGGGATGGTTTTTACTGTTTTCATGTCCCCAGGACATGAAATGTACTGACTTTTATTAAACCTAAGTGAAAGAATTTGTTGTTTAGTGTACAACTTTCCAAAGAACCCACACCTCACAGAAGGATTTTTCAAGGATTTACCTCATCTGGGCAAAGGTCTTTACTAACTCTTAAATCCCCACCACCAAACAGCCTGTCTGAGCCAGAGTCCAAACTTCAATTATCCTTTCAGTCCATAGCTCTCAGTTCCCGACTTGGGGAGAACTGGTGGCTTACTGCTGCTCCTGACCATAAATCCCCCTCCAACTTGCTTTGTTGCTCTGAGTCAACCCGTAGCCTTATGTCTAGAAAGAATGAGCCATCTTTGTAGAAATTAGAGATCGGTGGCACCAGGGGTAAAGAAAGATCCATAGATACATTTTGATTAGCTCTTGGTTATTTAAATTTTTTTAAATTTCTTGACATCGTGCAAATATCAGGTTTTCTCATAAATCCGGATTTCTGGCTCCTCAAAGATTTGGAGGTGAGTGGCATCTCATGCTTTGAATAGAGACTTAAACTTGCCCCATTCTCACTGGCCTGCTTCGGTTCCCGAGGGCTTGTTCTATAAATTGTGGCTCCTATCTTTAAAACTTACTATTCTGTTCTTAGAATGCTTCCCAATTGCTTAATAAACAGAATACCAGGGCCTCTGTGGGACACATGGTGTCTTGCTCACTTGCCTAGTAGGGTGGCAGCCACGTGGGTATTTTGCCCTCCAACATCACTTTCTGGAGTGACAGCTATGGCAGCGTTATCACACTCGTCTTCCCTAACATATCTGTCCTATGTAGCTCACAGGAGGTAGAGCCCTGAAAGGCAGGGCTCAGTCATAAGGACTCCAGCCCACCAGGTGTAAGGGTAGACTGTGAGGCACTTCACAACTGGTATGATACTAATGATAAAGTAACAAAGTGTTATAATTTCCTTAAGTAGAACAGAATCCAGATGTGCAATCCCATTCTTTTCCCTCCTAGCAGGCTAATGGGATTTTCTGATGGAGAAGAAGTGTCAACAGCTCAATTCTGCCCTCAAGATGGTTTTAGGCTTCAAGGTATTATGCCTGAACCCTATTCCAAAATTGAAGCCAGAGCCAAGATGCCCCTAATTGATCCCAGGACTTCCCTTTGTCCTACCTGTCCCCATGCATCCAAACTGGTTAGCAAGAAAAACCCACCAGAGCTCCCTTGTACAGGGTAAGCTCTCATGGGCAAGAGCCCAATAAGAAGCAGCAGAGTTACCTCTTGGATAAAATATTTGGGCTGCCATGGTGTGCGGAGGTTTTCCCGCTTCCGTTCCTCCACCCGCTGTTTCTCTTCCAGGCACCGCTTCTGCTCTGTGGCTGCATCAATGTCCCCTAGTCGCAGATATCGGGTAACCTCCTGCCAGAGGTTCCTGTAGAGGCACAGAGGAGAGGAGACAATGCAATGAGGTCAACCAGCTGGAGGATAACAGTGCCCAGAGTAGGAAGGGAACGCAGGCAAGCTCCACCCTAGAGGTAGCTTATCCAGGCATCTTGAAGCTGCCCGAATCAGGGTTTGAACCCAGCACTACCTGGCTCTATCTGTGCTGCCTTTACTTGTCCCAAGCAGCATGCCTTTCTCTGGGCTGAGTTTCTGGAGCTCAGTTCTACCAATAACAGCAGTAGGCAGTGTAACATTACTACCAACAGTAATCATGGACACTGACATGGCATTTAGCATAAATATTTCTAAGCATATTACATTTATAAGCCCACTTAATCCTCCCAACTCCATGATATGTTACATTATTCCTATTTTACAAAGAAAACTAAGGTGCAGAAATGTTAAGGGGAGGAGTAGGAAGAAATAGTGTGTTTATGGTGTAGTATCCATCACTTCCCCCCACGTCTACACAGAAGGCTATGTCTCTGCTTCATTTCCTTCACCATAGAGGTGGCCTAGACTGGCTTCTGACAAGCGGCTCTCCTTCTCAGGACTTGCCAGGGACCAGCCTGGATTCAGAGGAATACCCCATTCTCAAGTACAGAAGAACCATGGTGAAGCAGGACACCATCATCCACACACTTCCACACTGAAATGCATCAGGAGAAGCCTCAGTTTCCACACAAAAGAAGCAATCAGATTTCAATGGTGCAGATTCCCTCCCTGCTCTCAGGAAATGACACCTCTGCACCCAGGGGGCAAGTGGAGGTTCTCATTAGATCCCTTTCCACAGTTGGTAACCATGACCCTTTCTGCAGCCAGGCGTTAGTGCAGTAAGAAACCTGGAATGTTGGCCTCTAGGCAGAGGAGGGATGGTGGAGCCACTACTAGCAAGTCAGGAACAGCAAGCAGCACCTTCTGAGGAGGCTGGATGCCAAGGGTCATATTCTCCTTCCCACCAATCCCACCCTGGGTCTACCATACAGACCCAGGGAGCATGACATGATGGCTTGTTTTACTGCAAAGCAAGTTTCTGGAGCTGTAATATGAAGCTAGGTCTTTGGAAGAACTAAAAGAGAGGAGTTTGAAGATTCCTAGCACAAAGAAATGGTAAATGTTCACAGAGATGGAATTGCCAATTACCCTGAATTAGACAATTAGACAATGAATTAGATAATGAATATATGTATCAACTTACCATCATGTCAATTTAAAAAAAAAAGTAATTGGGCTGAGAAATGTAGCTCAAAGGTAGAGTTCTTGCCTAGCATATTCAAGGCCTGGGTTCAGTCCCCAGCAACACACACATGACTGGCAAGAACAGCAGAGTGAAATAAGGAAAGAAATCAATTAGGTATTGGGTCAAATACAGACTTCTTCATTACCCCTCATTCTAAAGGAAGAACTGGGCACAAGGACATCCAGGATGTGAGATCCTCTCTAGGACAGTGGCACAAGTTAAGAGGGCAGAGACACCGTGCCCCCCCCCAGGACTGGTGAGGAGGGAATGGGGTAAGAACTGGCTCACAAAGAGCCCTACCCAGACAAGCACAAAGATCCAATCCAGAGAGCCTCTAGATGGTAGGGAGGAGGATGGGAGTGCACGAGGACTCAGCTGAAGAAAGCGCTAAACACCAAGCCAAAAGAAAAGACAGCAAGGGAAGGCACCTTCAGGGTGGGGAGGGATGGGCATAGGTCAGACAGAAAAGCAAAAGGAAGCCAACAGGAGCCCTTGCCGAGGAGGGAGTCAATGTGGCAAAGGTGGACAAGTGGCGAAAGCAAGGCGTGCGTGGCATCGCTGCACATTAGCTTTCCCTTCTCCCGAGAGCTCTGGCCAAGGCAGGACCCCTACTCAGACCACACTCGGCACCATCCACAGGTGTAGGCAGACCAGAGAGTATCTTTGTCCTCCTGATGAGGGCATTGGGTCCCTTCAGACGGGACTTGCTGGGGACTGAAGGACTCATCAGGGACAGCACCACTGTAAGGCTGAGACAACCAGTCTAACCACTGGTCAGCTTAATTAACCATGCTAATGGTCCCTTCCTTTGTTTTGGGGACCTGGTATGGACAGTGGGTGCAGGTTTGCCCTTGGGCCAGCCACTCTACTTTTCAATGCTGTTTCCTAAGCAAAGAACAAAGGTGGGTTGGCTCCATTTTCCTACAGTCCAGCTCCATATTTCAGTATAGTCTGCGTACATACACTCTCACTCCAGACTCCTTCCCTGCTGCAGGCTGACAAGACAGCAAAGAGTCTTAATGAAGAGAAGCTCAACTGCCGATATCCTTAGAAGCACAGTAGCTGGATCATCAGAGCTTTGTTCTCAATGGTCAGACTGGAAACAACAGTCATGCCAAGACCCACAGGATTACTTGCCCTGGGAATGTTCCATTAGAGCCAGTGTGACCAGGGGCTGGATCTTATTCCTTACAGCAGCTTTTTCCTTTTCCTACTACCACTGTCCAATAGGTTGGGTTGAAAAAAGGATGCTTGGACAGAGTTCATGACATCCATCTGGACACAGAGAAGTTACACTCATTATCCCCAAATAACAAGGATGAGTTGTTCTAATACTAATCCTACAATAAAGCAAAGGTTCCAAGGATGCTGAACCTCTGTTTTTATTAAACTCAGCTAAAATATATTATTCATACACCTTGTATCCTGCTTTGTTTCCACTTAACAAGCACTTATGTGGTTGCAGACTCTTCTAATAATAGCAAACCCTTCTGCAAAATAATTTGAAATTTCATTTTACCCTTACATACTATCTATATAAAAGAGCAACATACTTCTAGATTAGAGTGAGGGTTGGCAAGCATTTTCTGTAAAGGGCCAGATAGACAGTAAACATGTGAGGCTCTGCAAACCATATGGTCTATGGTTGTAACTACTTAACTCTGCTGTTGTTCAGGAAAGCAGCCATAAACCATACCAAACCATATACAGCTGTGAACCATCATGGCTGTGTTCCAATGAAACTGGTTCGTAAAATCAGCCACAGGCTAGATTTGACCCATGGGCCATACATGGTTTGCTGATTACCTAGACTGAAAAATCAAAATGGCATCTTCCAATAAGATGCTGCTTCTGAATCAGGTGTGGTAGCTCTTCTATAATCCCAGCAGCTCGAGAGGCTGAGGAGGAATGGGAGTTCAAAGCCAGCCTCAGCAACAGCAAGGTGCTAAGCAACTCAGTGAGACCCTGTCTCTAAATATAACACAGGACTGGGGATGTGGCTCAGCAGTCAAGTGCCCTTGAATTCAATCCCTAGCACACCTGCCACAAAAAATTTATGCTTGTGTATGTGCATAAATGTCACTTTAAGGGGCTGCATTATATTCATACGATAGAGTGGACATCTGAGTTTTTTTTCCAAATGTCAGACAGTTGGGTGGTTTCTATTGTTTAATTCTCTCCTCTGCCCTTTTTCAAAAATCAGCTTCCTAAATCTGAATTTAGGAATCTTCCCTGAGAACAGGTACTCAGAAGTAGAATACAAGATTAAAGTGAATTCGCAAGTTTAAAGCTACTGATCCACACAGGTACTACTCTTACTAGGAGGAAACAGTCAATTTTATTGTACCCTTGCCAGCACTGAATTTTTAAAAATAACATTACTAAGCTGGTAAGAAATAGTATTTCACTGCTTCATTGCACAGTTCTTCAATTACTAGCAACTCTCTGTAGTTGATGTAGCTGAGTAGATTAACATTTTCAGGACAGGCATTAAAAGTCAGACATCCACTTTCACCACTCCTATGTAATATAGTGCTAGAAAGTTTAGCCAGAGCTATTAGGCAAGAGAAGAAAGTAAATGAGGATAAAAATAGGAAAGGAAGAAGTCAAATTATTATCATTTGCAGATGAGATCTTATTAGACCTAAAAGGTGCCACCAGAAGATTTCCAGTGCTAATAAGCAAATTTGGCAAGGCAGCAGGTTACAAGATCAATAGCTCTCCTATATACTAATAATGAATCTGCTGAGAAAGAAATCGGGAAAACAATTCCATTCACAATAGCCTCAAAAAATAAGACACCTAGGAATAAATAAAACCAAGGAGGTAAAAGACCTCTATAAAGAAAACTACAGAATATTGAAAAAAGAAATTGAAGATGACACAAAAAGATAGAAAGACCTCCCATACTCATAGATAGGCAGAAATATTGTTAAGACAGCCATACTACCCAAAACAATTTACAGATTCAGTACAATAGAATACCAATGACAAGTTCAATAACAAAAATACCAACGCCAGTCTTCACAGAACTAGAAAAAAAAAGTTCTAAAATTGATTTGGAAGAATGTAAGCCTAGAATAGTCAAAGCTTAGAATTCTAAACCAAAAATATGCAATGCTACAGGCATCATAGTACCCGACTTCAAGTTATTCTGCAGAGCTATAATTAACAAAAATTGCTTGGTATTGGCATAAAAACATACTAAGAGAACAGAAAAGACAGAGTCAAACCCACACATCTACAGCCATACAATCCTTGACAAAGAATATACACTGGAGAAAAGAGCCTTTTGAAAAAGTGGAAAACTGATAATCCATACGAAGAATGAAAGTAGATCCTTATCTCTTATCCTTCACAAAAATCAACTCAAAACAGATCAAAGATCTAGAAATTAGACCAGAAACTACACAATTCCTCAAATAAATGTAGGGTCAACATTCCAGTATATAGGTATAGGAAACAACTTTCTCAAAAGAACCTCAAAAGCTCATGAAAGACAAATGGCCAAAGAATATATGAAAAAATATTCAACATCTTTAGCATTTAGAGAAATACAAATCAAAACTCCACTGAGATTTCATTTCACACCAATCAGAATGACAGTCATCAAGAATATAAACAATAATAAATGCCAGAGAGGATGTGGAGGAAAAGGAATTCTTTTAAATTAGTACAACCACTATAGAAATCAGTGTGGAGGTGGAGGTTCCTCAAAAGAATAGGCACAAGACCACCATATGACTCAGACATCCTACTCCTCGGAATTTACCTTGAAGAATTAAAGTTATCATACTACAGTGATTCATGCATAGCTATATTTATAGTAGCATAATTCATGACAGCCAAACCATGGAACCAACTGAGGTGTCCATCAATGGATGAATGGATAAAGAAAATGTGTATATACAGAATGGAGTTTTACTGAACTATAAAAAATGAAATTATGTCTTTTGCAGAAAAATGGATGGAACTTGAGAACACATTATTTTAAATGAAATAAGCCAAACTCAATATTAAGGGTTGTATGTTTTCTCACATGTGGAAGCTAGAGAGGAAAAAGGAAAAGAAATATTTTGGGAGGGGGTGCAGGAGACTCTCATGAAAACTGAAAGAAAAAAAATGGTAGAGGAAAGGGACCAGGGAGGGAGGAGGAGAGAGGAGAAGGAGGGAAAGGAGAGGTACTAGGAGATGAAATTAGCCAAATTATATTGTTCCATCACGTTCATGTATGAATGTGTAAACAGGAATCTCACCATTATGTTTTACCAATAAAAACTATGGGAAAAAACAAAAAAAATCGTTTAAGTCGTCTGTCAGACTATTTCCACAGCCCACCCTATAAGTGCAAGATAATTAGATTGGAAGCTACATGAGTCTTCTCCTAAGGGAGATATGGGAAACTCAAGTAGCTGGAGAAGCCAGCAGAGGCTCCTGGCCAGTGCCTACAAGCTGAGTTTCCAAAGCTCCCTCCCTCTCCACCCCTGAGTCAGTGCTAAGGGCAACAAGGCTGGAAGACACACAAGTTGGTTCCCACCTGGACTCCATGGGCCCCTGCTTCTCCAGGGGCCTGATCTTCTTGGGGTACACTGGCAGTGAAGTTGTGTCGATGACTTTGGTCTCCCCGTTGCTGTAGGTGAATTCCAAGGTACCATTCCACTCCCCATGGGCTTTACAAACAATGGTGTTGGTTGGGTTGTGCTTCACTTCTGCTGTGACCCTGAATTCATGAATGAGCCAAACGAAAACAAATTTCAAAAGGTGTACTTGTGCTTTGGAGATTTCTAGACAAGTTGTAGAGGAGGGAATTTTTTTTTTTTCAGCTTTGCTTAAAGACTAGCTCTTAAAATAACCTTGATTGGGGGGGGGGAGGTGAAATCTGAATATCATCCACAGATTAGTTAATATTAATTAATAGTAATTTGTTAATAGTAGAAATGTTTACTTCTTAGTTCTGATAAACATACACTTATATCATGGTTATATAAGATGGAAATCAACAGTGTGATTCTACATAATGTACAATCAGAGAGATGAAAAGTTGTGCTCCATGTGTTTAAAAAAAAAAAAAAAGATGGAAATCAAGCAGTGTGTGAAAACAAACTCTTTCCCCCACCAAATAGCATCCAATAGTGCTAAATTTCAACCACAAAAAGTCCTTAAACAAGGTCAATTCTGAATGTGGGTCAAACAAGGCTGCTGACAATCCCAACAGAGCTCACGCTGGGAAAGGAGGGCAGCAGCGTCCAGCCCAACATCCACGCACCTTCTAAAGAAGGCTAAGCAGAGCCTAGACTCCTGGCCTCATGTCAGTGCCTTCCCAGTCAGCAGTAGCTGGAGGGACAACTTCAACCTCTCTTTAAAAGGGCTTTGTGGAGATTTGTGACCTCTCTCCTTGTCGTCTCATCCCAGGGAACTCTGATTCTGGGTGAAAGCAGACACCCACCCTCCTCCACACTTTGTAGTTTTCTGCACAGAGCAACAAAGCAAAAGCAGGAGGCTACTCTAAAGCGGCTAAGGATGAGGGATAAGCTTCTCTATATCTGACAGTCCAGCTCAAGCAGAATTTCAAGTTCTAATACAGGCTTGGGAGCATTCTCCCCGAGCCTGAAAACTGTCCCAGCTCCTAGGTGGCAAGGCAGAGGGTCAGCCCCAAGTATGAAGTCCACAGTGGGAGATATGAGTGGTGTGCTGGTCAGCGTTTAACAACTGGCCCTCTGTGACGGGAAACACCAGCCCCGCATGCCTTTGTCATTCCTGTGGCATTTCCACTACCAGCACAGTGTCATCGATGTCCAGCCCAGAAGAAACGGTCAGCTCTTGTGAACCAGTGTATGCCAGCTTCAGCATGCCACTGTAAATGTTCTTGTGTTTTTCTAAGGAAAAGGGCAAAGTTGGATGCTTGTGCATAGAGTAGGTCTGCTCTGTTTTGTTTTTTTGATTGCTGGCACCATAAAAACTACTTTGTGCTTCTTCAAACAGGCGACCTCTCCTCCTTCTGTTTAAGACTCGGGTTTCCCCAGCTTATAAAAGGGGAGGGGGAGAGTCTCTAACTCACAGGTACACGACCCAGGATTCAGGAGTATTAATAGGTCCAACTGAACAAGAAACCAGGAACTCCCAGGCCATGTCTGGACTCACAGATCAAATCATTTCAGAGCAGAGAAATAAAAACTGTGGCCTCAAAAAGAAGAACCTATCTTCAAAAGGAAGAGCCTATCATAACAAACAGAAGTACCTTTTGGCCTGGGATGTAGCGCAGTGGCAAAGCATCTGCCTTGCATTCTCAAAGCCCTGGGTTCGAACCCCAGTTCCAAAAGACAAAAAAAAAAAAAAAAAAAGCGCCTTTTATTCTCTAGAACGTGCTCTATAAATGCCTCGCCAAAGCTTTCCGCATCCATCTAGAGTGGGGTGAGCTCCAAAAGCAGCCCCCGTGAAGCAGGGAAAGAGAAGCCTCTTGCAAAAGAACTGCTAACTTTATTTTCATTTCCAACTCATGCCACGCATGGCTGGAATTTGGCCCTCTAATGGGAAAGGAAACTCGGGCGCTGTGATAAGACAAAGCCGCATCCCACCTGTGTACTTTCCCGCCGTAGAAGGGCTTGGTGTGGAACGTCACGGTCGCGGAGTACCCGGTCTTGGCGCAGTTGATGCTGACCTTTCCTCCGAGCTCCACCCACGGGATGGTGAGGATGGACCGCGCGTAAGCGCTGGGCAGTGTGAAGACGTATTCCTCTCCGTGTTCCAGGAGCCTCAGCACACCTCCAGGGAGAGAGGGGGGCAGTCAGGCAAACGAAGGTGGGAAAGGGGCCATCGATAGGTAATCGAAGTCGCTCCTGCCAGATGCCATGACTCCCACCGCCCAGAGGTTGGCCTCCCACCTGCCATGTGCTTTGTTTGCTGTGTGCCAGGTACTGTGAGGGGCACCGAGAAGACACCACGAACTAGACAGAGGGATGCACGTTCTGCCCTCAGGGAGCCAAAGAGAATGCTGGATGTTAATTAATCATCACACACAAAATTGTAATTGTGATAAAGGCAGAAGGGAGAGGTGCCCAGTGCCAACAAGGCCTCCAAACAGGAAGAGCTGACTTGGAAAGGAAGGGCTACCTAAGGGACACTTGTGTAGTGGTGCCCCCTCCTCCACCAAAGAATCTTCATTAAGCTTCTCCAGAGACCCTCACCTTAATTGTTCTTATTAACAGAATATCAGCAAAAAATTCTGCAAAAAACTCAATGTGGGTTAGGACTTCCTTTTTTTGGTGATAACTAAATGGATCTGTCTTGCAAAAGCAAAGTTGGGCTTGGTGATGGTACTTCTGCTTTTGTGGTAAAACTTGCAAAACCTCTGACTAATCCAAAAAAATGGAAAAGCTTGTCATGTAAATCTTCAACGCACCCTCCCCACCCCGCCCCGCCACACACACACACACACACACACACTGGGTATGAAGTTCAAAGAATTTCCAGACTGGAGGCCCAGAGACTTTTTAGGCAGGTGCCTCACTCTGGACCACTGCAGCCAATAAACCTGCTTCCTGCTAATTCCTCGGGTGTCCAGCCTCATCTCTCCTACATCACTTGAGCCAGTAAGAGCTGAAAGGCCCTGTGATGGGAAGCTTCTGGTGACCTAGAGAGGCTGATAAACGAGCCTCAGGTGGTGTGCAGAGGCTGTCCAGATCAGCAGCAGCCAGGTCTTAACTTTAAAAAGCTTCTAACATCTTAAGGAGTTTTGCCTTGTAACTTCAAGACACCACAATGGTTCCCAAAGTTAGAAAAATCAGAGACTACACCTGCTGCTGGCAACTAGGGTGGGGGACATCCACCCACATACCTCCAGATCAGTGGTTCTCCAACTGAGGACCCAAGAACTGGGCTTAGAGGGGTGTTAATCCTCTCAACTCAGAATTAGGTGGGTTTTTCCATCTTCCCAGGGGAGAGGCCACACTTCTCACCACGGCCAAGATGCCCATTCTAAAACACACATGCTCCCAGGGCTGCTGTGTGGTTTGTGTACAGAGGTCCCACAGAGACCCCGAGATCAGTACCAGGGCCATTCTAAGGTGGCTCCTCTACAGCACCCCATTCCAGCACTGCAGGCTCGGCTCCCTAAGCAAACTCTCCCATGCTAACCTGGCTCAGGCCAGGCCAAGTCATGATCAAGGGCACTGTGAGCCCCCAGGGAAGCTAACATAGGTGACCAGAGGTAGTTCGTAAAATTCCCTCCCTGGGCTTGTGGTTCCTCCACTGTAACAAGCAAAGACTGTGCCCAAGGCTCCCATGTGTGAGCACTTCCTGGATGCCACTTTCCCATGGACTCCTAATCACCATGTCCTGTAAGCCTCAAAACTATCTTATACAGCTATAATTATTGTATTAATATAAATAGGAAGAAATCAAATCCAGGTAAGCAATTTGGCTGATCGCTACTCTTCTCTTAGCTAGTACACATCTAAGTCAACTAGAGTCAGAGATAGGGACAGGGAGGGAAAGGGGAGAGGAAAAAGAGGGAGGATAGGAGCAATGGGAGAGTAACGAACTGTGAGCTTGCCGGGGAGCAAGAGCAGAGATGGGGCACATTTATACAGAGGCACTATCATTACTCTTGGTTTCCAAACACCAAGATGCATTTGACTATAAATCCACTCACCCTTGAAAATTCCTTTAACTGCCCACGAGCTACAGTAGACACAACACGCTTGGCTCTCCATTAAGTCCATTACAGTCAGTTCCCAGCCCATAAAACAGACGACTGGTTCTGTAAACCCAAGGTGACATGCTGTCCTAGATCCACCCTCCACCACCACCATGTGGAGGGATGTTCACACAGGACCTGTCCAGGAACTGAGACCACCCAGGAAGAAAGGATTTGGGGGTTGCTCCCACTCATATGGGCAGGACTGGAGAGCAGACAGAGCAGCAGCATTTTTCTTTTTCTTGGTTTTGGCAGTGCTAGGGATGGAATCCAGGGCCTCACAAGTGCTAGCCAAGTGCTCTGCCAATAGCCACACCCTCACTCCCTCACTGCAGATCTTAACTTCTCTGCAACTTAGTTTCTTCATCTGACACAGGAATAATGGTGTGTACACTCTAAGACTGAAGTGAAGACAGAGAAGGCGAATCTCAAACTCCACTAACTGCATCCTGAAGTTTAACATCCTCATTCCTCCTCCCTTCCCAATAACTCTCTATGGCAGGATTTTTTTTAATGGGTTTTTTTGTTTGTGTTTGTACCTGGGATTGAACCTAGGGGCACTTAACCACTGAGCCACATCCCCAAACCTTTTCAAAAATATTTTATTTAGAGACAGGGTCTTGCCAAGTTGCTTAGGGTTTCACTAAATTGCTGAGGCTGGCTTTGAACTTGAAATCATCCTGCCTCAGTCTGCCAAGGTGCTGGGATTACAGGCATGTGCAATAACGCCACGACATTGACACTTGGCAATCAAGTGGAAACTTTGACTGTTGGTGGGTTATGTGAAGGGTGGTGGTGATTTTTTTTTTTTTTAAACCAGTACATAAGCTTATTTCAGATGTAACAACAATGTTAAAAATTGATGATAAATTAATTCCCCCCCACACTTTTCCCCCATTTAGAACCCAGGGGCATTTAGCTACTGAGCCACATTCCCAGATCATTTTTTTTTTTTAAATTTGAAACAAAGTCTGAGTTGCTTAGGGCCTAAGTTGCTGAAGCTGGCTTTGAACTTGTCATCCTCCTGCCTCAGCCTCCAAAGCCACTGGGATTACTTGGCCCCCGGCTGACAAGTGTAACTCTTAATTGTAACACCATTTAACTATTTTTAAAGTTATTCCCTCAAAAAAACTGAGGAAGCTTTTCTTTTCCACCACCACAACACCAAGTTCTTCAATAGTTCTCTTTTTGGAGGACTTTCAACTGATGAAACTTCAAAGATACTTCAGAACTCCTTTCTTCAAATGAAAGCTAAGCTGGACAAATTATATACTGCATAGATTTCTCTGTAGTTTGTGTTTCTGGTTTTTTTGTTTGTTAATTTTTGTTTCTGAGGGTTGAACCCAGGGGCACTTAACCACTGAGCCACATCCCCAGACCTTTTAAAAAAATTATATATTTTATTTAGAGACAGGGCCTCACTAAAAGTTGCTGAGGCTGTCTTTGAACTTGCAATCCTCCTGCCTCAGCCTACCAAGCCTCCAGGATCATAGATGTGTGCCACTGCCAGGACTGATTCTTTTCTTTAGAATCTAAATGCAAATTTCATACAGTATAATTTTAACCTATTTGTCCCAGGGTAAAAACTATCTATCCTGAAAAATGGATATATCCTGTGTTCTTCCAGTTGACAGAATTACTATTTTACCTTTTTAAAAAAAAAAAAAACAATTGGCAAAAAAACTTGGGCCTCAAAAGGGGAACAAGGCCCCGCAACGGGAAAAAAGGTTTGAAAAAAGAAGGTTAAAAAAAAAAAAAAAACAAAAAAACCCCAAACCCAACGGGCCAAAAAAAAATGTCTTCCAAACCACAGAGAAATTACCCTCACATCCTCAGAAGTCAGTGAGCCCCAGAGCTAAACCGATATGAAAACACTGACAAAAATGACATTCCTTGGGCTCTTTTTTGAATATCCCCAAATGTATTTTCATTCATTAAATCACTTGTGATGATGCCAACGTAGTACTCACTGCGGGTTGGGTTTTTTTTTGGGGGGGGCGGGCGGGGGGTAGGGTTATTTAAAAAAAGAAATTCTGTCCTTAATATGAATAAACACAATATTAAAATTAGACTTACAAATGGGATTGCAAATGAAAGTTACTTCATTTGGCTCAGGAGCTGAGAGAAGTTGAAATATGCCAAATGATCAACGGTGCTGTGGTGTAGTCCTCGGGCTGGGAAATTTTCATTTGAAATTCTACAAACTGACTTAGCAATAAACATAAGGCAAAGCATGATTAATTTTCAAGCTGATCCACTTAAAATAGTTCTATACCCAATCTCAAATCAACTATTCCAATAGGATATCTACCCTGGACACTACAGACAGTACTCTGGGAGTATCTGCAGACCCGGTGGCTGGGAGCTCCTCACCCCCCCCCAGCCCACCCGACCTCCAGCAGCCCCAACTCCCTCCCAGACTCTGAAGGGCTTCAGCAAGTTTCTGGGTGTTGATCTTGGCATTTTGGGGGAGAACAGTTGGAAGAACAGTTGAGGGCAGCTCAGCTCCCTGCAGTGAGGCTTCAAAGGGTTAGTGAAGCTGTCCTTGCTAAGGACATATGCCCCCAATTCCCTGAACAGCATCTCAGCTCAAGTCAGCAGTGGGGGAGTGCTCTCTGAATTGCAACCTCAATGAGCCCATGGCAGAGGGAAGCATTATAAGAGTCTAATGAGCCACAGCCAATGTGAGAATTTGAGAGATAAGTCCACGCATTTACCCTCAATATTTCAAGTTGGCCCTAACTAAGATAATTTTTAAAGCGAGGGATTGGGAAGAATGTTATCTCAAACCCAATCAATAAATTTGTGGAATATGCAGGGAATTGGTGGAAAGATCCCCTGTGTGCAGGAACCAGAACTTTCTGCTTTGATATTTGAGGATTTTTTTTTTTTTTTTTTTTTTGTACTTGGGATTGAACTCAGGCATTCGACCACTGACCACATCCTCATCCCTATTTGTATTTTACCTACAGACAGGGTATCACCAAGTTGCTTAGCAACTTACTGTGCTAAGGCTGGCTTTGAACTCTCAATCCTCATGCCTCAACCTGGCAAGCCTCTGGGACTACAGGAATATACAGTGCTTGGGATTCTTTTTTGTTGTTGTTTGTGTGTGTGTTTGTTTGTTTGTTGGTGTGTGTGAAAAATAAGACCACGTGTGACAAAGGGCACACCTGATAACTAGGAAGGAAAATGGGGTATGGCTACTGAAAGCACCAGGGAGAACTTTAGGTTTCACCCAAACCAATCAATGGTGTCCCTGTCCAGGTCCACTCACAGCAGGAATACAGGGAGAGGAGAGCCAGTGACCAGGGAGAGGCCTTCCAAAGTCTCTCTCTAGAATCTTCTTTTTGAACTCAGCACTCCACTGAGAAGTTCTGAGCAGAATTTTTGGAAGAAGAAGAAAAAAAAAAGGCAGAAACATCAGATTTAATTCTGTTTCAGCAATGGTGACACCTGAGGGCCCAAGGAGAGGGCATCAAACAGCTTATCACCCAGGACATTAGGTATGTGCCAGGGCTGTGCAGGGAATTAAAGCCCTTGCACATGGCCTGCTGGGACCAGACAGTAGGGATCCTAAGACATCACAGGTCTCCTGTGGACTTCAGGAGACAGAGCAGTGCTGGAAGGACCTCATCACTCACGTAAGGACAGGTCCAGAGGCCATGAAAGGGGACCATGTGTTCTGGGAGAAGGCTTAGTGTTAAGTGGAAGGGCTGGGGACAGAAGAGGAGTGGCAACCAACAACACACAGAGACAGGAGTGGAGGCAACTGTGCCAGAAAGGAAGAACCAGTATTAAAACAGGCACACAGGGGAACCCATGCACACCCGCCTCCCTGCCAGAGCCACAGCCGTGAGTGGAGGAGGCAGGCAGGAGCCATTATCAGAAAGGAAACAAGCTCCTTGGACATCACGGAAAGGCTGGGTTTCTCTGGTGAATTTTCTGGTGCAAATCTTTACCTTTTTACAAAATTTCCAGATATTTATCCAATTGCCAAAAAAAAAAAAAAAAAAAAAAAAGCTGTGCTTAGGGTCCCACAGACTGGGAGATATCTACTCTACACTCCAATCTGAGAATCTGGTTTTCTCACGTCTTGATTAATAGCAACAAACATTTCTGCTGAGTACAGAGAAAACGCCAGAAAGGAAGGTGAATATTCTCTTACATACCAGGAAACCTATTTGGTTTTATCAAGAGATCATATTTGCCAAGCACATATTCTGACTAATCCCAGATATAAACTCTGCCCATGCATGTGTGTAGGGAGGAGGAAAAATAAACAACTTCTCTCTGCTGTTACCTGTGCAATCCCCACTCCCACCTTCAGCACTTCAGCAGTCCCACTAATGCGTCTGCCTTCCAGGGACTCCCATTCTCACTAAGAGCCAAAATCCTGTCATTCTCCCCTTCCCCTAGAAAAGACCTCAAGATCTACCTCCCTATCTCATCTCCTCTGCCCCTTTGCGACAGCCACAGTGCCCCCCCCCAAGTCCTCAGAACCCCAACGACATGCTCCAGTCTCACAGCTATTGTCCTGTTTTCGTCTGAAGCGTCCCTTAAGCCATCCAACTGACTCCCTCACCTGTTCAGGCCGACACTCAAATTCTCTTGATCTTAAGGTCCACCCTACTGAAAACGGCCGCATCCTGCCCCCACCCACTCTTCACCGTCTGCCTCTGCTTTGTTAGCCAGAGGCATGCAGACTACATGCAGGCATTTTGTCTTCTGTCTGATCCCACTGGGGTGTGAGCTGAAGGTGGGGGATATCTGTGTGCTATGACTTCTACTGGGACCCTTAGGGACAGTGCCAGTCATTTTGCAGATGAATGAATGGAAAAACCAAGACATTTATCTGAGCTGCCAGCACTGTAGATAGGGAGGCAGACTTACAACAGTGTATAAGTCAAGGAATCATCCGCACACATACGACAAATATAACTGTAGGTGTGAATGCCTTCTCTACCTTCTCTAGCAAACAAACATGCCAGCTTTAAAGAACTGATTATGTGGGAAATTTAAAGTATAAAATCAAACAGAATAAGAGTCATCCTGAATACTAATTTTTGTGCTTAAATAATGGAAACAATTTTACCAGTATAATCCTCAGAGTATGAGGCAGACCCTGAGTGACCTATGAAAACAGAGCACCAGATAAGTCAAAAATCAAGATTAATGCTGGTCCCATTTCTCATTACAAACCCACAGATATGAATCAATGTGAACATAAAGCTCCCACAGGGAGTTCTTAGCATCTTCTCCCTGAGCTCTCGGCTCATGTCCACAGCCCGGGCTGAGGCACACCTGTAGGACCCTGCTATGTGGCTTTAACCCAAACAGTGCTACACAGGGACAGCTCCTTCTCCCTTGTTCTGGGGAGAAGGCCGAGTTTAGGAGAATAAGCAGGCACTGGGTCAGAAGAGAGGCTTGTGGGGACATGCCCAGTCCTTCAAGTCTACCCCACATAGCCCATTCAAGTTTGTTTTCCGCAGCTTCACATCAACAGGCCTCAGCTGCCCTGCCTGTTATCATAGGACCCCTAGAGTTCACTAACTAGCCACCACCCTGCCTTTCACTGCACCTGGTCACGCCTCCACACATTCCAGGGTTTGGGACCTCAGGTCTCTTCCTGAACTTTCAGAAAGATTCTGATTTCTCATGCACAGATCAGAGAGGTATGAACTTGAGGACACCCCAGAGAGGAAGTTCAAAGTAAACCACCCTCAATATACTTCTTAAGCAGATTTTAAGGTGGCTATTCAGAACTGCAGACACAGAATGGCTCTGAAAGTAGTCCTTTTATAAAAAAGAAACTTACCTCTAGCTGTTCTATTGGATATACCCTATGGGCTTAGGAAGGACCTCTTCATCAAGAAGACAAGATTGAGGTCTGATCCCTAGCCCAGACAGCAATGGCCATGGGTGGCTGTTACACAAGAGACTTCATCTCCAGAGACAACCAAGCTCCATCTTCCTAGTCCTCCCTTTGTGTCTTATTTCAAGTATGAGTCCTGAGCTTATAAAATTTCTTTTTCCCCCCCCCAGTTAATCTGCCTATTGTCAGTTCATTTTATTATCAAACCTTCTAAGGGAAAGAGTAAGTTTAAAACTTCCCTAGAGCAGCACCTGCCCTGAATCTCTCTTTACTGCCTCATCATGGGGCAGAAGACAGGTCGGGTGTTGTATATGACACCCACAATACAATACACCTGGGTGAGTTGCCTCCATCAGGTTCCTCATAGGTAAAACAAGGTACAGCCGGCTTATCAGAGGTTTTCTATGCATCTTCAAACAACCAAATCCTTTTGAATTGAACTCTTATAGAGAAACCCACCAGGTAATCAGGTAAAGTTGGATACAGATGATCAAGATGGGTGGGGGGGTTGTAGGGTTAGAAGCCTCGCCCCTCATTCCCTTTGCTCCTCATGGTCTGAGCCCCTCTAAGGAGATTCACCTTTTCTATGGCACAGATGAAATCCCTGGGGCTTGAAACAAATTCTCTTTCAGCTACAAGGTTCCATCATCTTTGGTAAAAACAACTCCTTGAGGGGGGGAGGGGAAACAGTTCTGATGCCCCTGCCCCTTTCCACAGTAGGAAAACCTGACCATCCAGTCATTGGGATTTCCCCATTGGAAAATGGTGAAGGCATAAAACTAGGTGGCCTGAGGTCATGCTGGTGACAGACAAGTCCCTGGCTCCTTCACAAGTAGATGAGTCTTTTTTTGCTGAATTTCTTGATTCCAACTGATCCTTGAGAGGAAGGAACAATCAGCGCAGCACAAACTGAATACTGGACTATGGCAATGACAACCCAGGGTGCATGGAGCCAGGTAAAGGCCCAACCTGACACTAAGCACCTGTGGGTCTGTGGGTGTTCTGGGGATTGCATCTTATCTACAAATGAGAGCAGCATTTCATCTACATCCCAGTCACATACACACACACGTGGAACCCAAGAATACATTTCTAGTTTTTTGTTTTTCCTAAATAGTGTAAAAATATTAATAAGAGTCATCTGTATTTACTCACTGATCCAATCCCCTCTCCTCCCATTCCTTCTTGAATTTATTCCATTAGATTTTCACTAGGATTCCTCTACTGGCAACTGCCACCAAGCTTGCCAATGACCTCCACTGGTCTATTCTCCCACATCTCAGTCCAAATGCCTCCGTCTTGCTGGCTGGTTGTTCCCGTCTTTTGAACCTCTTCACATACAGACACGTAACAACCTCATTAGTCTCAAGACCTTAAATAACAAGATTTTTACTTCAGCCAGGATGTCCCCGGAACTGCAGCCTGAATGCACAATTGTTCACTCATCCCACCTGAGCTTCTAAACCGTAATACAACCAGACTGAGGTCCTACACTCCGCCTCCACACTCACTTCCCCTGCACCAGCCCTCAATCAATAGCTATTCCATCCTTCATAGCTGTTTGGGTCAAACATCTGAGCAAGGTGGGCATGGCGATGCACACCCATAATCCCAGCTGCTTAGGAGATCGCAAGAACCAGCCTTGGCAACTTAGTAAAAGCCCCATCTCAAAAAATAAATAAAGCTGGGGGTGCCCGGTAGGGGTACCCCTAGGTTCAATCCATAGTATCAAAACTAAAACCTTAGCGATCCCTGCTCTCATAGCCCATGTGTGAACCAGAGGCAAACCCTCTTGGTTCCACTTACACATCCAGGTCTTAAACAATCTCAAAGACTCATATGCTCAAGACTAAGTCAACAGCCTGTGGTACAGCTAAGAGATGGTGGCACCCTTGGAGGTGGGACCTAGTGGAAGGAAGTGAGGTCATTGGGGGCGTAACTGAGGGGATACTGGAATCCCGGCCCCTTCCTGTTTCCTGGCCACCATGAGGTGAGCTTTGTTCTACCACAAGCTCTTTGCTACAATGGTCAGCCTCATCACAGGCTCAAAAGCCATGGAGCCAACTGTCCATGGACTGAAACTTCTCAAACCATGAGCCAAAATAAACCTTTTTCCTCCTTTGATTTTTTTTCAGTTATCTTATCACAGTTATGGAAAACTGACTAACACAGGGACCCTTCCACATGTTACTTCCTCCACCTGGTCCAAGCACCATCATCTCCTGCCTAGTCTCATTACCTGTTAACTGGCTTCCTGGCTCCCACCTTTGGCCCCCATGATTTACTGTCAAAAAGCAAAAGAGATTTTGCTGAACACAAGTCAGATCACACAGCACACTGCACTAGCTTTGCAGCTCACTCAGTGTAGGAGTCAACAGAGCACTCCACAATCCAGCCCCAGTCATGGCTCTGACCTTGCCTCTCCATTCCTGGTCACCCTGCTCCAAGCCCCCTGGGCTTCCTGTCTCCTACCACCCATGCAAGGACCATCCTGCCTCTGGGCTCTTGCTTTGCTCTTTCTTGTCTACACACTCCTCCCCTGACAAGAGGAGGAGGCCCTTCTTTTCCCCCTTGGGGTCTTTGATCAAATGTCACCTTCTCAGTGAAAACTTGCAGGCCAACCACTCCACCTAAAAGCTCCCTTAGTCCCTGCCCCTGCTTTATTTTTCTCTGTATCACTTACCATCTTTCAACACAGCACATGACTGATGCATGTATTTATTTCCCCCAAAGATAGAACAGAAGCAGGGCTGGGGTTGTGGCTCAGTGGTAGAGTGCTCACCTAGCATGATTGGGACACTGGGTTCGATCCTCAGCATCACATAAACATAAAGATATTTTGTCCACTTAAACCTAAAACTAAAAAATAAAAACTAGAACAGAAGCCTCACAAGGATATAGGTGGGTTGGATGGGGATGTAGCTCAGTGATAGAGTGCTTGCCTAGCACGTGCAGGCCCAGGTGGGCAGTTGGTAGGGTGAACAGCTGCCTCCCACCTTGTCCATCTCCTTGGCCCCACTGGGAAACTAATAGACCTGTTAAATCTCCAGTACTGCAAACAAATAAATAAATAAATAAATAAAACCCCAAAACTCACCACATCGTTTGACTTGTTTACTCAAGTCTCCACCACAGCTCCTAAGACAATGCCTAGCATCAAGTAGGTGCTCAGTAAAAATGTGCTCAATAAATGAAAGGTGTTCCTATACCATGGGATTTGGTGAGACTTCCAAAGAGCCACATATTCCCTAACACTAAAAGCCAAATTTTGTATTAATTTTTCTTCTGGGAAGAGAGTTAGTCTTAGAGTCTCAAAGGGATATGCAACTCCAAAAAGTTCAAGAGCACCAATAACACAGACACTTCAATTTAACAAGGATCATTATAGGTTTCTTCAAACAATGAATAAACTTCATTCACAGCTATTTGCTAAAATAGGGACTTGCAATCCACCAGTGGTGTGATTATACCGTGTTCTCGCTTCAGAATTTCTAGCACAGAGTCAAAAGATTTGCCTTGGGAATTTTTATGAGCAGCTTCTGAATAGGCAGCCCTATTATCCTCATTGTCTATGAACCAGCACACCAGTAAGGATGAATAAAAATGTGTTTTCCCAGATTTGGAGCTAGCTCTAATATTCACGCAAAGCCAAAAGAAAAAAGTACACGTCGAGTGGTCCGTAGGCATGCAGAATGTGTGCAGACCCAGGTGGGCAGCTAGTGGGGCGAACAGCTGCCTCCCACCTTGTCCATCACCTTGGCCCCACTGAGAAACTAATAGACCTGTTCAAAATCCAGCCGCCTTTCCCATTCACTCCTCAATTCCAAAAGATGAGCACAAACCCCCACAAATCATCAATCATTTCTCAGTACACAAATATCACTGGGTAAAAGCCGAATTCCAACACGCAACATAGCTTACCTTCCCCTATCATAGAGACCCCCACGGACATGCCCATGAACTTGCTTTTGGTCCATACGTGAGTGTTGACGCACAGTCTCTTCTCCTTGCACTCACAGTAGAAGCAGGAGATGGGTGGGTGATGGGATACTTGCTCAGCCACAAACCTTAATTTGTAGCTTTTGGAAGGGTCATCAGCCACTAGTTGTTCATGATCACTGGGAGGAGACGGGGGAGCAGTCCTTTTGGTCTTGACCTTGTCCTTGGGGACTTCCCAGGAGCAGTGAAACGTCTCCCCGATGATGGGGTTGTAGGGCTTCTTGGCCAAGGCCCCCTTGCGGCCCTCATGGAAGGCTGTGAGATAATACTCCACGAAACAAATAACTCTCTCCTCTGGCGTGGCCCCGGCAGTGATGGCCAGCAGGAGGTCAGGGTGCGCCATAAAGTCTGCATACATCTCCAGCAAGGATCTCTTCTCCAGAATGAACGTGGGAAGCACCACCTGAAGGACAGAGGGGCAGACAAGAGTCCCTGTGATTTCACTGAAAAGGGGGCTGCAGCCACCGCCACACAAATTCAAAATGGCCCAAACCGGGGGAAAGTTCCTTTTGATTGGCACACCCATGACAAACCGAGGGAAATGACACTGAGGAAATTAGAAATGGCAGCAGCAGCATCCACGTGAACCCAGCTTCATGGACCAGACTGTTCTGAGTGGTTTTCCTCTTTGGGCCAAGACAACAGCCTGTGTCTGTCTCTCCACTGCCGCGGCTCTCCTCACACACGCCTCTTCTCACTCCCTTATTGGAAGACATGAAGAAACCACCCAGAAGGGCTTTTCCATATTCCTCCCACCATCAGGCACAGTCCTGGGGGTATCTGAATACGAATGACATGGCTTGTTGCTGCTGCACCAAAGGGGGCCAAGGCAGACCAGGACCCTCCACCACCAAAGGTGTCTTTTTGAGGATCCATCAAAAGATTGGCATATATAACCCAACGTGACGGAAGCAGGGATCTGGGAGGTGACCCAACCAGCAAACAAATGCTATAGAGCTCCACAACCCCAAAAGCCTAAAGTCCATTTAAAACAAATGAAGGAGTTGGGTGCAGGGGTGCACGCCTATAATCCCAAATGCTTGGGGGCCAGAGGTAGGAGGATCCCAAGTTCGAGGCCAGCCTGGGCAACTTGGTGAGATCCTATCTCAAAATAAAATAGGGTTGGGGGTGCAGCACCCCTAGGTTCAAAACCTAGTACAGCACAATAAATATATACATCCATAAAGTAAACAAAAGGCATCCTGAACCTGGGAAACTGGTAACTCATTACTGTCAGGGAAAGGAGAGAGTCTATTTCTCATGCTCCAGAGTTGTTGTAATGTAACCTGGTTGTTGGGTGTTAGTATTCCACCCACTTAACTGTAAAACACATCTAACTTGGGCTGGGGATGCAGCTCAGTGATAGAGTGCTTGCCTAGCATGTGCAAGCCCTGGGTTAAATCTCCAATACTTAAAAAAAAGAACGCACAGGATAGTGAAGCTGGCACCAGCTCAGACCAGCTGGCTCTCCCCTGCACATTTCCCCTCTCCATGTTAAAGGCAGAGGGGCCCCACCAGGTTCAAGAGAGTTGACCAATGTCACACAGCCAGTTCACACTCGTCTTAACACGATCAACTGTGTCCTTCCTTTATGTAGTCCTTACGCCCCACGAACACTTGGATGTACAACAACTGATTGTAAATAGCACACAGGCTTACAGATCTGTAACCTTGACTCCTGTCAGCTTTCTGAAGACTTTCCTTACAAATGATGTGGAAACAAGGGAAGGAAGTAATGTCTAGAGAGAAACTGTTCAGAATCACAGACAGGTGAGACCTGCAAAAGCACAGCGATTTCATAGGGACTAGCAAAAGCTCAGCCCACGAGAGAAGCAAGGCTTGGTAGACACCCTATAATGCTATTTATCATTCATTTAAAGACTCCGTCTTCGTGCATGTGCCAAGTGAAAGGCAGCAAGATATAAAATTGAACATGTAACACAATCCATGTAAATCCATAAAGATTCCAAATGTTAACGCGTCTCTAGATGATTAAGTGCTTTAAATATCTCTTTAGTGTCTTTCTGCTTTGCTTTAATATACAGGAAGAGGAAACGTTAATTAAAATGTAACTGTGCAAATCAATGGAGATTTTCTAATTTTCTTTTAGCCACAACTTGACAAAAATCAAAACTCCAGCTGCCTGAGGATTTCAGTGGGCCAGGAAAAGTGTGGAGCAGACGCCACCTCTGCTACTGGCTATTATTTTTTATTTTTTTTATTGGGGACAAGTCATCCTTCAGGCCCATCATTGTGCGCTCAGGGGCTGCACTTCCAAAGAGGCTTCCCTGGGTCCATCTATGGTGCTCTCCCCCCCTCACAGGTGTCCAGTGGCAGACTTAACAGGCGGCAAAACAGCCCCCAACCTCACCGTCCTTCCCTCTCCCTCCTCCACCTCACTAAAGGACTCCCCTCTAACTCCACCTGGACTGGACGTAGCACAGATTGTGGATTTAAGAAACTGGAAAGCCCCAGTGAGGGCAAATTGATCATAAAGAAAAAGGGAAACCACTGTCCTGCCTACCATCTCCAGCGGGCCCCATTCCCTTCTTTTTTGCTTGCAAGGCCCTCAAGACAGCTGGGGAGGGTCAGGCAGAACCACACAGGCACCAACCAACTCTGGGATCTCACATCAGAAAAGCAGCACTGGGGACCTGGCTGACATTGCCCACCCTGCCCCCCTAAGGCAGGAAACCAGGCTTCTCCAGCAACATTCCATCTCCGGGGCAAGTATTCTCATGTTAGCATCCAAGATTGAAACGATAATAAAAGAATCATGCCTGCTACAATATTTACTCTCTAATTATGTGCTTTCTGAAAAGGGCATGATTTAAGGCATTTCTCTTAATTTAGGCAGTGCATCTGAACTCGGAAGCTTAAGAATTAAAAACACGAAAGAATTCCACTAAAAACCACAAATTATTGAACATCACAATCAAAAGGGACCTTGGAGCTTATGTAGTTCCATGCCCTGGTGTCACAGATGAGGGACAGAGGCTGGGAAGAAGGGGCAGAAGACACTGGGCCTAGGCCACAGGCCACCCATGGACACACCATGACTGTGCTTCTGCCTCGTGTCCACTTGCTCTTTCCTTCAAAGGAGATGGAGTTTCACTGGACTTAAAAGCCTGGCCACCCATCCGCTGTCACTGATTATAAAGCAGGGGAAGGAGGTAGCAGAGATAGGACAAAAGCCCCCATTTCTAGAACATTCTACCCTCCCCATCACAGCAAGAAACCCACCATCCTGAATCCTATCAAACATTTCAGATGACGGGGAGACCACTGGTGGTGAAGAAAGGACACAACAGTTCACCTCCTCCCTGTTGCTACCCTCCAGCTGTTGCTGGCCCTCCAGCCTCCTATCAGGCCCCCCGTTAGCTCTTCTCCACACCCACAACAGAATCCTCTTTCCAAAATCTAAGATATGAAGTTCAATCTGGCTCCACCTCCCCAAAGCCTCATGCTATGTCCTTGATTTTTGCCCTCAATCTGCCCTTCATAGCCTCCTCTCCAACACTCGCTGCATTTCCTCTTATGACATCTCTGCAGCCTTGTCTCGATAAAATAGCTGTTCTACTTCAGGGCTGCTTCCTCTATGAGGCTTTTCCTGACAATCCTTGCTCCCAAGGCCAAGCTATCCCTCTTTATACCCTTCAGTGCATCCCATGCTTATTTCTGATGATACTCTTTGCTCTTACTAATATACATGTTTCCAGGCTGTAAGTTCCTGGAGGCAGACACCCGAGTCCCTATTACCCAGCATAAAACAAGACAAACCTGTAAGTCACCTTAAGACATACTTTTACTTCCTTTGACACATAAGGTCATTCCCTCCTACTTCCAAATGCAGGTGCTTCTGCATAGTGAGTTCAATACTTTACACTATGCCAGGCCGTTTCTAGTTGCTGCTTCTCTCAAGGAATACCAGAATAATCCCACTCCTTCTTGGGAATTCTGGGCAGGGAGCATGCTGAAGGCAGCTAAGACAGTGTAGTTCAGGAAGATGTTTTCTGGGTCGCAATGAACTACAGAACTGAGGCATTACAAATGTTTGCTCAGGGTTGGGGGTGTAGCTCAGTGGTAGAGCACTTGCCTATTATAATGCCTTGCATGCAAAAAGCCCCAAGTTCAGTCCTTAGCACCACTCACACACCAAAAAATTAAATAACAAGTGCTGAGTGACTTGTGAATTGAGTGGGCTCAAACATGGTTTGTCCCATACCAAATCAGATCCTGTGAGACAACATGGAGACCAAAGAAGTGACAGCTTCAGGTAATGACCTTCAAAAGTCTCCAGAAGGAATCCTATAGCCTAGTCTACAACACCCTGTCATATCTTCATGAGACAGTCAAAAAAGTCCTTGCTACACAGCATCTGCATGGCATGACTGCCCAACTGTGTGACTATGCAAATCCACAGTGAGAAACATTCTGCAAAACAGTGAGCTGGACTCATCAGAAACGTCCCTGCTATGAAAGAAGAAAAAAGGCGGAGGAGTTTTCTAGATTAAAGAAAACTAAAGAGACATGATACCCAACTGTCATATAATTTGGATTGGATCCTGGATTTTTAAAAACATAGCTCCAAAGAGGCAATTACTGGGGCAGTTCAGGAGAATTTTTACCACAGGCTCTATGTGCAATAGTACTGTGTCAAGGCTGAGCATCCCACACATGATGAATGGATATATTTCATATGAGTAATGTCTTTGCTTTCAGCAGACACTCACTTGAAAGGTTAGGGAGGAACCATCACAATATCTGCAGCATCCTCTAAAAGGGTTCACTACAGAATAAGCGTACACCTACACGCATGGCATGTGAGGGGTAGGGAGGGGGAGAGAGATGGAACACTAGAGAGAAATGGAAAGAGGTGGGGGAGGGGAGGTTGGCAGAGCAGAAGGCAGAAGACGCACAGAGCGCAAAATGATGAATGTGTAGACTAAGCAGGAATCCACTGTTCGATTCTTATACCCTTACTGTAGATCAGAAAATGAAACAACCCTCCTGGGACTGCAGGTTTCAGAGTGGGCTCAATGGAGCAGACCCAGTAGGTCTGGCTTTGCCAGAGCTGAAGAAAGAGCAGCCTACCTGGAGAGCTGTGGCAGAATGGGGTCGGGGTGGGATGACTACCCTTTCTCATCTCTTGGCGGCATGTGTCTCTGTGTTTGGGCAGAATACCAGACTGACTTCAAGCAGCAGCACATGAACACTTAGGACAAGATGTCATCCTTCTCATTAAACTGGGTTTCCCTGTCTGGCCCGATTTCTTTCCCTCATAAAATCTCTTGGAACCCCACCCCTCATCCTTTTCTTGGCTGCATCTGCAAACAAGTCATTTAATCATCTGGTTGTTTCTTTCCCTCATCTTTTTGGGTGGTGGACACCAAGGATACAGAG